TCTTTGGTTTTAAAAGTATTTCGACCGTATCGGATAATGCGCCGGCGGTCACGGTCAACCGTTGGGCGATCGGAATGTGCGGTTTTTGGGGCCGACCTTTTCTAACCCGTCCTTCCTCGGGGGAAGGCAGCATCGCTGCTTCCATAAATATGGACATGCTGGTCACCTGGGGGAAACACCTTACTGCCTTCACACTCCTGTCGCAGAGGACAGTACGACTTTACCCCCAGACCGCCTCGTAGTACGGGGTCTCGCTGCTCCCCTTTGGCCTTGTTGGCATGGTTGCACCTTGTGGAACGAAGTTCCAGCCAGTGTAGCCCGCGGGATCATTGCAGCACTGAAGCCCGACCACCACGTCAAGGTGGCAGCTTTAGGTCGGTCGGTTGCGGATAGCTACGTGGGCAATGTGTTGACAGTGAATACGCCTCTTTTCATGGGAACATATGTCTATCACCCATCTTCATTGACATGGCTTGGTCCATGAAAACACGACGGTTTCAATGAATTCATCGCACAACACAGCACAGCGGGGTTAAGGTGCGTTCACGAAGCTTGTTACCGAGGGTCGAGTGTGTAACAAGTTACTTCTTTTGCATGCTTGAAAGGCCATATAACCAGATGACCTGTGCAATGCTTGAGGAGATGAACAGCTAGTGTTTTTGCTCAACTTCTCTCCTTTCGGTTTTAGGAACAACCGGATCACTGCTAACGGAATAGAGTAGTTTTGTTTACATTTCTTACTTCCCATTCTCCACATGTACAAATTTCATTGTGGTCGCTTGAAGTTAACGACTACGATTGCAGTACAGAGAGTAAATTTCAACCGTCTTGGTCATCTGGGTAGATCGTACTCACTGTTCATCCCGGAAGGTCCATGATTCGAACTCAACCTCCGCCTTTCGACTTCCCCTTTCTATGCTTGGACAACCTGGCAGTATCCTAGCCCTCGTGCTTCCTCCTGGTGGCATAGCAGCCAGGCACCGAAAAGATGCTACAGCTAAACCTCTCTTATTCTTTTTCCATGAGCATAATAAGGATATTCGTTTTCGGCAGACCATCATGCAGTTCAGAAAACTCAATTAGCCAGGATGACCATGGAAAATTGAAAATTCACAATGAATGAATCCGCAATGAATCGTATCTTATCAGCTGGAGATGGCTTACTAGTTGATGTGCGGAATTGCTGACGGGACCCTGTAGCAAAACATGGTCTGCGACTGTGCGCAAATCCAAGCTCCTGTATCAGTGCGAAATGGCATTTTGTAGGGTATTTGCTCGATACATTCAGTTCAATTTAGCGATCTAAGGTACATAATGGCTTCCAATCCCCACCGACCATATGTACGTATGTCTGCATTAATTGCTAACATCTACCACATCTTAGAACTGAAGAGAATGAAGAGTAAAATCACATACAGGTCTAGCCTGGGAACGCTGAACATTGCTAGTTGGCCCCCGAGGTCAGTAACAGACCAAGTATTTTCTCACTGGCAATTTTATTTCGACCTCGAGACCAATTTAGTCGATAGCCGTGCGAAGCGCTTTATTCATCAAACAAGCTGACAAACATACTTGTTTTGGCAGCGTAGCCATAGGCAGGGAGTTGTCGATTCGGAAACAGTTATAAAGTTGGTTCTTTCACTCCGTTTAGAGGTAACAACCAATTTCTTCAGTTGAGTTACTGGGGTACGAGTATTGACGAAGTCTAGAGGAGAAAACAGCTAAAAAGTATGAAATGATTGTCTATTTCTGAGCTGCCTTTCTTGGAAACCATATTCTAAGAGTTGGCATTAAGTAATAAGAATGACTGATGAAGTAATAGCTTTAATTCAAACCATATACCGAACCATATGCCAAACCATATCCCGAATCAACAAATACACTCATTCGCATGCCAATTCGGTTTGCAGGGGGGGACTCAGCTGAATTTCCCGTTTATGACGTTTTTCAACTGAGTGTGCTTTACAGAGGACCCCTTATGTTTCAGTTGGCGCGATATTCGAGATATCGTGCCATATTTTCGTAAGAGTTCTCAGCGACTCCGTAAATGGTCTTCCATTTTGTTTGCTATCCCTACCTGGATGTCATCCATTCCGTTCAGCCATATGGTGACCACTATTTTCCTATGAAAAATGTTTATAACTCGTGTTTCTGCAGAACGAGTGCTTTTAGGACGGTTCTAACAAAACTCGATGGTTTACTTCTTCGAAACACCGTACACAGTAATTCTTACATCTGGATGAAGACTCCACGAACAATGTACCTCGCCCCTTAGGAGCGTGTACCCTTTATCGAGTATGTTTTCTAGTCACTGTTCAAAAGAACGCTCCTTTGTTGTCTGATGAGAAAACCGTAAACTTTCGAGCAAAAAATATTTTCCCAAAAAACCGCTGCACTTGCACACGAACTGAAGAAGGCTCATGAGCTCGGATCGAAAAATGGTGTGAACGCTCGAATAAGCCATAGTTCGAACCCATATAGACCCTACTGAATACATGGAAAATAAGTCAATGCGATTCGGATGAAAATAGTTCCAAGGACCAACCAGATATGGGCCTTTCGTAGCTAAATCACTTCAATAATCGGCACATATGGCTTCTTCGCAGCTTTTCACCGGTGATAGCTGCACACCACCGACCAGAACCGGTACTTGTGCTAGCTTGCTGCACCAGCACGAAAAATGAAACACGCCGGTAAAAAAACGCAAAACTCACCTTTCTTTCTCTAGCAGCTCCGGAATACGAAAGTGTGAGGTGATGTCGCGCAGGAACTCCAAACAATGCATGTCACTCAACCAGTCACCGTTGCGAAGTATAACGATGGGATGCGGAGCTCCCGTTTCGGTCTTGCGAGGGAAGAAGTTTTCGAGGTAGTTCCGACGAATATTAGCCAATTCATGCTCAATCTCATCAGCATTCGTCCCGTAGTTCAGATTTGGATTTGAGTCCCGTTTGGTGAGTCTGCCACTTGGATCCCCAACGGCTACTGTACCTGTTCCGACCTCCAAGTTGAAAATAACCAAGAACAAGATACATACCACTGTGAGAACACTAGCGCCAACCATGTGACAGCGAAGAAGACCCATCAGAGCAACCAAATTTCCCAACTGTAGGCTATCAGCTGACGGGTCGATTCCGAGATAAACTGAGTAGTTCGGTGGCAAATCCGGTAAATATTTCTCACTGACATTGGTTTCAAATGTTTGTATCCTCACCTTTTGGAAGGCAAGAGTTCGGCAAAGTAGCCCTCATGTAGCAGGGTTTTCAGTGTTCTCTGTGTATGTACTAGACGTTTCGCTTTTGAACTGAGTGATAAGCACTTGAGGAATAAGCGAGTGGGTAGAACATACGACATTCTAAAACGAGTGTGGAATGGATCAAAGAGCTTCTGAATACATATTCATGAAAACGAACATGTCATATCAACTCGAATCGACCAGCTGTGAAACAACGTAGCTTTTACATCCACAGGCAGACACAATTATGCCTCCCAAACAGCCGAGAAGTCACAGCTGGATCCAGGCTACGGGGCTTTTGGTTAGGGGATTCAACTACTTAGGACACTGAATTGTGAACACTTGCTCTATTGCAACTAGCTTATGCAGGCGGATAACTTAGCTTTACGAGTGTTGTGTATTATATCTACCAATTACTAATGATAAGCAGCGAGTTCTAAACGAATTTCGTTTACGGAACCTGATACCATGAACGGAGTGGCAATCAAGCTGGAAGATGAACGGCTAGGTGATCCTCAGTCACTGCCTGGTTGGAGACACTACAAGATATGGCTGCCAACCAATGTCAGTGGCGTTCTTGTTGTCAGTTTCTATCCAGATTGCCTGAGTGAATGTCTGGAGGTTAGGCACCTCGGAATGATTGTGTTAAGCTAGCACTAAGTCCCTCCCATCCACCTTTATTCTTTTCTTTACAATAAGGCTTTCAAATAAGTCATGGCTGTACGGCAGTGAAGCATCGGTGTTGAACACTGATGTCATGCTGTCGTTGTTGTTGTTGTTGTTGTTCAAACGAAGTTCAAGAGGAACCATCAAATGAACCGAACCAGAAGAATTAGACCCCAGGCAGGACCCAAGCACATGTAGGTTTCCCCACCGACCCAACACTTGTTCAACCACTCTAACACACTAAAATCCCTCGGCCGACACCCAACAAAGATTTAGCTTGACTTAGCTGATTGGTTGTCCTTCCGCCTTAAATCTCGATCAACCTCGGGACCTAGTCACTTGGCCTGACGAAGCTTTTGTGTCAAAAGCGAAACGTTGC